AAGCCGAGCACCCACGCGCCTCCCCAAGAAAGCCGAGCCAAGGGTCTCATTCATCCCTCACTTTCCCGGTGAGGAGAACCGACTCCGTAAAACTCTCGCTGCGGCTACCACGTGGCTGGGCTCAGGCTGCGCCGGGCTTGGCCGGACCAAAGCTGCACCCTAAAAGCACCCCCAGGGTCTTCTCCAGCCCAGTCCATCCAGGCTGGTGAAGAGGAGAAGCTGGAGGCACCTCGTCCTCGGCTGCCAGCGCAGCCCCGCAGCGAGGAGACCCGTGGAGTCCCTCCTCGCCCCTTCCCAGCTCCAGCCCCCAGCAGCTCCCGCGGCAGGGAGCCACCCCCGGCGGTGTTTGCCCCCCTGGCACTCACCGTTTACTTAGTTTCCCAGAGAAGGAGAAACCTTGGGATGTTTTTTTGCCTCCTTGCCTTTCACCTTCAGCGTAGTGGGAGCAGGAGCTGAGGGCTTACGGGAGCTCCCTGAGCTCTTCATTAGGAGCTCCGGCACCTGAATTGAAGCGGTTTTACACACCAAATTTAACAGAAGCAAACATAAGTCATAAACACAGGAAAAAATATTAAACATCAATTTTAAAAGCCCGGTTGCAGCTTCCTTCCCCAGACCGGATCGGCTGTGGATCGGGACCGAGAGCGGGCAGCGCAGGGCGCACCACGGGTGGCAGCGGTGCGAGGGGCCGGATCCTGCTCCGGGAAACGGGGGCTGTCGGCTCCAGATGAGAGCAGACAGCCCCTCCGCGCGGGGCTGGATCCCCACGGAGTGCAGATCCCCGTTCCAGCGGCACGGAGACAGCCACCCGACCGGCTCAACCCACGGGAGGCTGCCAGGCGAGAAATAACATGACACACACCGGTTGCAACGGGGAGGGGGGAAGGCTTTTATTGATATCAAAGTGTGTATAAATAATTTTGTCCTTTTCTTAGAGCGGGTGAGGAAGAAGTCCATCTCCAGCACAACTTCTGCGGGTGTCCCTGAGCTTCAGCCCCACTGCAGGTTAGGGGGGACCGGCCATCCTCCGGGTGGGGGGGCCTGCAGGGAGGGGGGCAGGTCCTGCACTGGTGGCCAGCCCGGTGGGTACTGGAAAGGAGCTGGTTTCTCAGGCAGAACACTGGGGAGGTGGGGAGAGGAAAGGGGCAGCGGTGAGACGGAGCTGTCTCAGTTGGTAGCAACATCCTGTGCCCCCTCTGCCAGCCCCCAAAAGAGGAGGGGGCCAGCGCAGGAGGGGTTTGGTTATCAACAAGCATCGTATATTCACCCACCCCCCAAATCCAACAGCGGAACTGCGGGGTAACCACCCCTCACCCCTTTTAAGCGGTTGGTGCTTGCTAACGTAGCGCACGCCGCTGAAAAATAAGGTGGGAGCGCTAAGGTAAGGGGGTCTGCCGGAGGCGCAGCCCCCCCCAAAAGCCACCCCAGGCACAGCTGGTGGCGGGAGAGGCCTCGTGCGGGGAACACGGCTGGTCTCCCCCTCCTCTCCCACCCCCAGCTGCTCTCCACTCCCCGCACAGCTGAGTTTTGAGAAGAACAAACAAATTTAGCAGATGTTTCCTTCCCAGCAGCCCGCATGCCAAGCCAGCTGTGCACTTCCCAAAGGACAAGGACCCCTCGGAAACGGAGAAACTGCCAAACCGCCGGGGTGTTTTCACCGAAGCACCCTTCAGCAGAGGGAAGGGGCTTCCTCCTCCAGCTCACAGCCCGGGAAACACGTTCTCTTCTCTCTCTCCCTCAAGTTTACCAGTCGAGGCTGCTGCAAACACCACACCTGACTGGAGAAGCGCAAAAGCAAGAAGCACATCTCCCTCATCTCCAGCTGAAGAAAGCGCTTGGCCGGAGCAGGTTTAAATTCACGGGAAACATACCTTTTCCATTAATTCCTGAGTGCAGGAAACTCATTTGTTCTTTAGCGCAAGCCCTGACAGCAGCCTTCCAGCCTCCCAGGCCTCTACCTCCGATCCTGATGAATCTTTTTAATTGTTACGCCAGAAGAAATCTAATCAAACTCCTTTACATAACGCTCCCGAGGAGCAGCACCCTCCTCTCCCTGCAGGGCCGGCGACGTGGCCGAAAGCCAGCTAGGGAAGTTGAGTGCAGTGTTTTCTAGGCAAGCAGCGCAGCGCAAAGTCATTTGGTCTAACGCTTATCCCCTTGACGGGGAATTCTTCGGAGCCGAGGATGAGACAAGACCGCTAGGATGCACACCAAGCCCCCTCTCGGGCAGGAATAGTTTTTGTTCCCTCCAGGCAGTCGCCCCCGCAGCAGCAGTACGGTGGGGTGGAGAGCAGGACAAGGCACGCCGCAAGGTGGAACGGCGCAGCTATCAACTAATGAGCTGTTGCGTGAGCAGCAGAACTAATCAATAGGGAGGATGCTGTCTGGGTACTCAATTCCCCGGGGTCTCATAAGATACAAGTGCTATCAAAGGTTTACCTCCAGCTGGAGCGTTCGGAACGGCCGTCCCATGGGGATTCTCCGGTGACTAGCAAGGGTCAAGAATATTTCCTTTTCCAAGGCATTAATGGGATCCCTCTCCTCTACTCACTTCCACATTCCCGAAACTATAGTATCTCAGGATATCTGAGGCCTCAGACCCCTTTCTGATGGAAATCAGCAAGTGGGCTCCACGGCAGCCAGGGCAGAAGCCCACGCTCACGTGCACTGACATGCTCCGTTTCCTTTGGAAATCAGCTTAAAAATCAATCACAGCTTGGCAGAGCTCCACCGTTAAAAGAACTACACGAACTCCATCCAACTCCACCCCGGCTCTCCAGAAAGCAATGGCCCAGCCTGACTTTGAAAATACGCATCAGGTGGAGGCTTCCAAATGAAGATCGTCTCCTTGAGCCCAGCCACGCTGGGAAAGCGGCTGCACGAACCACGAGGGGAAGGCAGCGTGGCAACTCTCCATCCATGGGGCTAATTTAGGGCACAGTCACAAATGGTGCTCAAGTTACTGCCTTGAAGAAAGCGCTACCCTTCAGCCAAGGCAGTACCTGGCCCCACGGCCACTTCTAGCCCACCATGGCGTTTTCTTTGCGCTGCGGTGTACTTGGAGACTGCAAGGCAGCAGCTCTACCTGTGACTGCCTGCCAGGGATCCTGCTGGAAAGCCCCCGCTAAGGCAGAGAGCGAAACTCAGCTACGCTCGCAGGCTGAGGCTTAACACAGTAACATCCTCCCATCGCGCTTTGGGAGCATCACGCTTCCAAGGACCTTTTCCATCCCCGCTTGAATCCTTCCTACTCAGTGCTGCCAGAGAAGACAGAAGTGGAGCGTTATCTCCAGCATCTTTTGGAGCTGACTGCCCTCGAGAGCATTTTCTCTACTGTTTTGTGCAGACTAATTGTCTTCACTGACATTACCAGCCAGGCAAGGCAGCCTCTGGGGCAGGTTATCATCCGAAACCAAAAATTCCCCAAAGCAGCGTTAGATGCTGCCACATTTCAGGGACCTCGAGGACTTCAAGAGGGAGAGGGAGCTCCTTGTCCTTAAAAGCATTTTCAGGAGGAAGACGGACTCCCCAGGCACCAGGAGCACAGGGACCTGCCTAGACCAGCCCCTCTTCCCTGGCAATGCAAAACAGCCTCTCGCACAGGCAAAGCAACACCCACGCTTGCTCAGGGCAAGGCTGGGGCTGGACAGCACAAAGGGAGAAGAGAAATGACAGGGAGAGGCATCGGCGAGGCCGGATAGAGGAAGAGAAGCTTTCAACAGTTGTTAAGTTCCAGCAATAGATGGTTTCTAGGCCTGCAGAGGCAGAGAGGCTGGGTAGGAAGCAACAACCCTACAAAACCCAGGTCTCGTGCATCTTTGGAGGCAGCAGGGACCAAATAGTTACGAAGGTCTGGAAGTTCCTTTGGGTACAACGATGACTATCTTCTGTAAGAGACGATCTACCCCAAGATGAAAGGATTCTCAGGCAGGACAAGTAAAATGGGGCAAGCGAAGTGTACGGGGGTAGGAAGGTTATGGCTGTCGGTGAGCACCGCTGCAAGGCTAAGGGCAGCCAAGCTGATGGATGGAGCGAAGAGAAAGCAACAAGCCCAGACAAGCACCAGAAGGAAGATCCTGCCCAGACCAAACACGGAGAGGACAGGAGCAAACAGAAAAAGAACAAAAGAGAGATTTGGCACCTGCCCAAATGTCATCCAATTAAGCCTGCGGCACAGTCAGGTGAGCAAGGAAACAGCAGGCACCGGCAGGCATCCGAATCGGAATGAATGCTGCGAGGAGGAGCTAATTCCACCCTCTCACTGGCAGGGACTGGCAGAGATGTGCAGACAGGGCAGGCAGAGGATGGGGAAGCTGTCAACAGATGAGACCGGGCTCCTGCCACTGAACTCGGGGCATTAATAACTCAGCATTGCAGTGGCACTGTCCTTCCAGGCACCTGCGTGCGCTCTGCAGAGAGCTCAGGAGTACCCCTCTGCCCTGCCTCCCCCCAGGGAAGCAGCCGCAGGCAGCCACAGCCTGTCCCTCCTGCACACGGGGAGACACATCCACGCATCTCTGATGCGGGCGTGCAAGCCGGGATCCATACGTCTGTCTGTAGCTTGTGCCAGGAGCAGACACGCAGCGCTGGCAGACCCAGCGGTCAACGACAGCTCAGGGGCTCCCATCGGGTCGGGACCTCTGATCACCTGCGCCTTCTCCTATCCCACTCACAGCCCTCTTGTGGGATCCCTCCTCTGCATCGCGCGGGCCAGAAGCAGCAGCCAGCCCTCGCAGGGATGCTCCCCAGCCACCAGTACCTGTTGCTCTGAGCCGCGCTCAGTCTCTTTGCTCTCTTCTCCAGCCAGTCCTCAATGGTGCCAGGCGGGACATCTGCTCCCTCCTGCCGCAGCTCCTTTGATCTCTGCTCCCCTGGTTGAGAGAGAGAGAGAGAGGGAGGGCTATCAGACGCTCGCGCTGCAGTCCTTTCACTCCATTAAACCCACTGCTCATTACCCTGCACAGTTTCATACAGCGGAGAGTTTGCAATATGCCTGTGGCAGCCCCTCCTCCTCCTCCTCCTCCACCGTCCACCTGCCATCTGATGCTTGGCCTCCTCACTGGTGACAGCTCCAGCCAGACAGAGCCGGGAACAAGAACTAAGCCAGCGAGCACGGCGGCAGTTTGGGCACTTAACCGAGGGGAGTCTGACATCTCCCCCCAGGGTAGATCGTCCACGTCCTCGCCTGAAACAGCCTCTGCTGGCCCTGAGCCCTGAGCCGTTTCCAAAGACGTGTCCCTCCAACTGGCAGGAGGGACTTTGCCACCTCTGCCCAGTTAGGTGGGAGTGACAGGGACGTCTGTCCGGATCGATGCAGACTTGGCAGGCCACGAGAGTCTGAAAGGTTCAGAGTGCGCGTACAACCAAGGGACGGGATTTCAGAGATGCTGTCAGGTCTGTTTAAGGCTCACGCTGCGTGATGCATCCCCAGCCCCTGCAGAGCCGGGGCGGGAGGCTGTCGCCCGGCCCTGCTCAGCCTAGGTGCAAAATCAGAGCAGACCCGGCAGCGGGAGGAAGGGGAACTAGCCCCTGTGTTTTCTCATGCAAGTTAGGAAGGAGCAAGGAAACCAGTAGGAAACCTCTGCGGTCTACCAAGAGGCAGGGCAGCCTGAGGTCCTTTCAAGGATTCAACCCCTCCATCACCCCAGGGGGGTTGCGTGGGGCAGATGCCCGCACGCACCCCGTCCTGCAGCACTCTCCTCTCCGGGCAGAGAGGCACAGAGCCAGCGGGGCAGTCCCAGCACTCACCAGTCCCTCCCGCCGGGCAGAAATCCTCAGCTGCCCCATTAGCAAAGCTCCCCGGTTCCCCGCCATCGGCACCAGCGACAAAGGTAGGGGAGAACAGGGTCTAGCAGAGTCCTTGACACGAACGACGCAGTCACGCTCCTGACAGCACATCAGGCAGAGCGGGCTGAGGAGATGCTCAGCGCTATTAGACCTCCAGCCTAGGGGAAAGTTCCCACCTAAGAGAAACGGGAATGTGATACTTGAAAAACAAACACTTATCAATAAAAAGGAAGCCGAGGCAGCTGTGTGCCATTCCCCTTTGCCCTGTTCATCAAATCCTCTGGGGATAAGCGCCCTGAGCCCATTTAGAGATCGACTCGCCACCCCAACGGCAGCCACCTGCAGCCGTGCCCACCCGGAGCCTGCTCCACACCTACCCGCCATATGTCACACGTTTAAGGAAAATATTATACGTTTCCAGACAGGGTGTGAAATTAATATTGCTTGGGCAGAGTGAAGGATCACTTCATCCTAGTGGTGGCAACCAATTATTCATCTGCCTGTTGAATATTAATAAGGATGGCAGAAATGTGCTACACAATGAGCAGCCGGAGATGGATAATTTGTCATCCAGCCTTTTCATCTGCTGCTGCTGGGAGGGGTGGCGAGGTACTCACTGCCACCACAAAGACAGCCCGCTGTGGTCCTGATGGCGAGGTGCTGCTCTGCAACCCAGCGATAAGGATACGACTGTTCACATCTCCAACAGTTGCTCGCTCCCAAGGAGCAAAGCCCCAGCAGAGCTATTCAGGGTCAACCCATCAGCCTGGCCAGGTGAGGGCACTGGGGAAGGCAAGAAGCTCAGCCTGGTGAGCTGGGCACCGCTCACACTCAGGATATCTGAATTCAGCTCCCAGATTAGATTTCTCCAGCAGCATTGGCCACAGCCACTTTATTTCCCTTTGCTCCAGGTTTCTCCACCTAGAGAGCGCCTGGGCACATCCCACCTCAGCAAGGGCACAAGCAGTGGTTGTGAGAGGCTTTCATGAAGCAGGGAAGAAAACCCACAGAGAGAAACCTCTCCCACCTCTGCCTACCACCAAGATTTCCTTTCGATCCCACTCCAAGCCCCAACAGAATGCAGACCAAAAACTGTCAAAGCCTCTCTGTTTAGAGCACGGAGCCCCAAGATCAGTGCCCCAAAGTGTCACACCAGAAACTGGTGGGAGCCCATGGACTCGAGCAGCCGCAACTGTCTCATGCAGAAAAGCTCACTGGCTGCGGTGGAACGACTCCAGACTCACGCTGGCCTAAATGAAGCCCCAGGTGTCCAGATCAGAAAAACATCCAGGTGGCTTCCTGTTCACGCAGCTCCACGAGTTACTGCTCCAAAGCACTCCAACCCGTGGGCTGAGAAATAAGGCAGCAGGTACGGACAACTCTCTGGCTCTGTCCACCTTGACACATAACCATCAAAAAGGCCAATCTTTTGTCTCTTCTTCCTCTGAAGCACACACGTCCCATCCAGGGACCACCAAGATCACCACGAGACAGGAAATAGCCCCTGAATGTCAACAGGTATTCCAAGATGTAACTCAAACACAATTCCCAGCTCTTACTCCTCATACACGATGGCACAGCCGCCAGACTGCAGCAGCAACAAAGGTGTGAAGGTGCTTCCCCCCTCCTCCTCGCTGGAGTGTTTGCTTCAAAGTCTAATTACAGTCAATTAAAAGAGTGGCTGTAGTCATGAAGTGCCTCTCTAATGATGCCAGAGCAGGAGTCCAGATTTATCTTCTCTCCCTAAGCAATTTTTAGCATGAGTTTTCTTCCTGAACGAGGCACCACCGTACGCGAGACGCAACCACCAGCACCGAGCAGGTCACCTGGAGGAGAGATTTACATGTAATCCTTCAGGTCCTTCCCTGAGCAGGACGATGTGGCAGCCCAAACTCCTCCAGAGCACATGAACAGCGGCAGACTGCGGCTGAGAGATGAGGTTGATGAGGCCCTGCAACACGAGCAGCTTAAGAAGTTACCACCCCGCAGCCACGAAGTGGCAGCCGACTGCGAGAGCGCTCCTCCTCCTGCTCATCGCTAAGTTAAACTGGTTGACTACAGCCACCCCCAGCAGGGTCACTCGTATTCTTTCAATCACACGGCTATATTGCAAACACTCACCCAACTGTGCCCTTACTCTCCCCTCGCGGCTCCGGCTAGCTGGAGCTCACCAAAGAGGCTGGGTTGTGTCAATACCACCAGCAGAAGTGACGCAGATTAGTGGGGAGCCAATAACTTTAAGCAAGAAGACGGCAATTTGACAGTGACTTTTCCTGACATGACTGTACTTAAAATGACAGCCTGGAAGTGTCTCGCTGATGAATGATGCAGCAGATGCAGAAGGCTAATGCTTTGATGCGGTAACAGCTGGGAATATGCCTCCCTCCCCGCTGAAGGTGGGAACTGTTGCTTTTTGATGAGTATATTCTACGGGGTGCAGAAATGCTGAAGCCAAAGTAGGACACACTCTAAGCTGTTACAGAACAGCGAATCGTCCAGAAATTTTCCTACTTAACCCGCAAGACTAACACAAACAACAGGGTGAATTCCCTGCGTTGAAAAGGCCAAATGTTAAGAATAATTTAATGTTTCCTTTGGCTGTAATAAAAACGCATCATTAGCAAGGAGAGCTCACTGACACAGAACTACCAACACCAAACACTTAACGGGGATTCAGGCACGAGTTCAATATTTACTTGACAAAGAAGTGCCGTCACGGTTTAGCAGTGTTAAAAAAAAAAAAGTCAGAAAGGGCTTTGCTGTGGTTTAGGATGCAGCCCCTGAAGATGGGTTAGTGGGCTATACCACTTCACTACAGGATGTCTTTGCAGCTTTTTCTGAAGCATCCGCCTCAGATGAGGGGAGACACGGGTACAACGCAGCCTGACAGCTCCTCTGCTTCTACACCCACCCACCAGAGCCGAGGAAAACGGAGTTAAGCAGCACTGTGGACCTACTAAGAGACCATCCACTTTTACCCCACCAGAGGCAGAGCGTGACCGTCTCCACCTCGGTCACACAAGGCTCTGCAGAAAACTGTGAGAGCACTGTGGAGCTTCCACGCTCTCAGCTCATCCTAAATCCCCGACCAGCCCAGGCTGCAAGCCCGTCAAAATCTCCCAGACGCTGCAGGTTCGGACAGCAAATCCCCGAGGACACTGACAGTTCAGTGAGAGGCAGCCTGAGCCACACTGCTGCTCTAACCCGTACTGTGTCACCTGCGATGCCTCAGAGCACAGAAACAGCGGGACTAGGTGCTAATGCACATCGGGAGCACCGGATGGACATGTTATAAGGATCAAGTCTCCTGTGTAATTAATGCAACCTGCAGTCCAACCTGCCATCACACTATCTCACCTTAAACTCTGCCCTAAGCCTCACCATCCGAGACACTGACGCTTCAGTAGCCTAAGGAGTGGTGAAAAGTCACCATGACACACCAAACGGCGGCTTGGCTTTTGCAGATGTTCCTTCCATCCAGTCTACTGTGTTACGGGCTACACTTCTCCACCAAGTCCTGCTGAGCTCTTCCCTCCATCGAATCCCTCCAAGCTCTCCACAGGCTCAACCGATCAGATTTTGAGGTCTGCGTGACACTCAGCCTGCTCGCTGGGCTCACACGGGATTTCCACGGAGCAACACCACGAGAGAGGTGAGAGGGATTTAACTCTACAACCACTCATTTGTGCCAGAGCAGCACAGCCAAGGACAAGGCACCCTGCCGTCCCCTGGCCATCGCTCCTTGAAGTCTAATTGTTTAATTAAATGTTTGACTTGGTAATACAAATGCAAGGTTTCCAAGTAATCTCCCAGGAATCAGCTCTCTCGCTAGCCAATTCTCCGCTTACACCTGACCCATTTGACAGAAGTCAATATTCAATAACAAGTGTAATTGGCAATGAAACCTTCCCAAGCGCGGAGGAGCTTGCCAGCCTTCCCCTGCAGCTCCGCTCTGCTCCAAAGAGCTTTCACTTCCCCTGCAATAAACAGCCTTCAATGACGGGAAACACTACAGATTCCTGCAAATAGGCTGACATCCTATGCCACCTCTCGGGAGCCCGGCCCTTAAACCCCGCAGCAGAGAAGGGTCGGGGAGAGGTTCGGGGCTAGCAGCGGGGACAGGGAGTGCGACTGCCAGCCCGGCACTGCCGCTCTGAGAAGGGCTGGCTGGAGCGCTCCGTCTCCCGTGCAGCCCGACGAGATGGGTTTTATTGACTGCCAGTGTTGTTCAGCAATTGATTCACAGAGTCGCCTCGGGGACTGGCAGACTGACTCAGCAGCGGCGAGGACTGTGTAGTGCCTGCCTTCCTCCCGCTCCTCCAGGTTCACCGGAGCCCCGCTTCCCCAAATCCCATCCATCTGAAGGCCAGGAGAGTCTCTACCCCACGCACATCCCAAATCTCTTATGTATGCATGCACGTACACGCAAACACACACTTTCAACACTTGAGCCTGTTTTTGTCAGACTATTGGCAAAACAACAGTTGGCTTCAGCTAGCAGTGTGGGCACAAGATCTGCTCAGAAGCTGGGCTGCATTAGGAAGAGCACTGCCAGCAGGTTGAGGAAGTGATCCTTCCTCTCTGCTCCACACTGGTGAGACCATGTCTGGGTGCTGCGTCCAGCGCTGGGCTCCCCAGTACCACAGAGAGAGAGATATACCGGAGGGAGTCCAGCCAAGGCAAGAGACAACAGGCACAAACCAAAATACAAGAATTTCTATTTAAATACTAAAAAAACCCTAAACATTTTTATTGCAAACATGGTCAACCACTGGTGCAGGTTGCCCACAGAGATAGTAGAGTTTCCACCCTTCGAGATACTCAAAACACAACTGGACGTGGTCCTGAGCAGCCTGCTCTAGTTTATCCTGCTCTGAGCAAGGTAGGGTTGGGACTAGACAATCTCCAGGGGAGACCTCAACCACTCCGTAAGTTCTCCCCAACACCTCGCTCACATTTTCTCTAACCACCAAAGTAATGAATCCTATAAGACAAAATAGAGCTGCCACCCCTTACAGGGCAAGGAGGTGGAACTCCCAGAATGAAGAAGTTCAAAAGTGCTCTGGAGACTCGCAGCAGGGGAGCAGCTGCCATTCGTCCTCTGCCCAAACTTCAGTTCCACCCAAAGGCACACGAGCAGAGGCCATTTCTGGATCCAAGACCCCATGTCCTCACCTCAGGACAACCCAACTGACAGCAGGCTAGCTCTTCCCAAGAGTGGAAACAGCAGCTCCCTGGTAATAGTAGAGAGGTGGGGGGAAATCAAATCCATAAATTTAAGGGGAAGTGATGTACCACTGCCCTCTGCTGCTGACAGTTTTTATTCCCTGACTGAACAAAACCCCGAGGGCTCAGAAAGCCCACTCTCTGCTTCAGATGCTTGCTGCTAAGTAGTAACAGCATCGCTCAACTCCAGGTTTGTGTCTGTGCCAGCAGACTGAGCAGAAAGCATATGAAAAACTGCAGCACTTACAGCCACGCTACAGGCTCACATAGCACTGAAAGGCAGGCGGGAGCGATCCACGCTCGATTTGCTGCGTACAGGCAGCACGGGACCGCAGGCTCTCGCTGCACAACCCCTCCTGCTCCCCTTTGCAGCCCACACTCCCTGCAGCAACTCCCCCTCCTTCAGAGAACCCCGGACATTTTCTTGTTCGAGGACTCACCTTGAACCTGGGCACTCAGCTTCTCCAGGTCCTGCTCTGTCATGTGGGAAAATCTGCAGTTGGACCCGAAATCACACTGTCCTGCAACAAAAGCCACGGAGCTCCGTGAGAGCCACACACACAACATCCTCCCTTGTAAATGTGCATGCAAACCCAAGATCCATTATGCCCGCACACCAGACACGCAGGCCCAAGCCCCGCACTCCCTCCAAGACAAACACACATACCATGGCTCTGCGGAACAGCCTTGGGCTGGCTCATGAAGCTGGAGCTCAGGCAGTTATTTCTAACTCTGAAGAACTCACCTGTTTGCAGGAACTTCCGACAAGGTTTCTTGGTTTGCTCCTCTTGCAGGATAGCGGCAGCATCTAGGGTAGACAAAGGATGAAACAGGGTAACGATCTCTTGCACAGCAATACCCCATCGTATCATGGCCCTAAACAGGTCAGCTGCCTAGCGAGAAGCCATTTTACATGACAACCAGGAACTTGAGCCACAGGCAAAGTGACAGATAACTCTCCCTGGTTGCACCCCTGGCTTCAGCTTTTCACTGGCTTGCAAATATCACCTTTGCTCTCTGCTTCATGCACTCTCCCCATGCTAGTAGGGGAAAAGAAGCATGACAGAAAAGCAAGGACTCTGCAGCACTTCTGTACAGCAGGGAAAGACCAGGCAGACTCACGGAGCTCTCAGAAAAGCTCTGTGTGAGGCCTCACAGAACCCTGTGCTGAGTCTCCGGTGGACACCACTGAAATGGTCCTTCAGCTCCCATAGATGTCCTGGGCACTGTGGGCCCCAAAGACACAGCAGCTCCCACAAATGGTGGAAGAACTTGCACTGGCTGATGCCAGGCCACAGAGCCTGGAGACAAGAGGAGACGAACCCCCTAATCAGGGATGGGATGAGGAATTTTATCAATCAGAGGGAAATCAGGGGCTGCAGTCTGGTGAGAAGAAAAGCGCAGGGCAATCTACCTCACCATCACTGACCCAGCTAGAACTGGGCTGGGGCCGGTGGTCCTCCACACTTGAGAGCCTTTCCAACTTTCACGTATGGTTAAGGAGACAGCAGAGCCACCCAGAGCTCCGCAGGGTATTCCTCACCTAGCTAGCCAGGAGACAAACACAGCCTGCAACTCCTGACCCCGAGGAACCAGAAGGAAGCGGAGGAACACATAGGCCATGCTTTCACTATCGGTTTAACCCAAACTAAGTCTTCATTCCTGCCAAAATCTGCCAAGTCCTGCTCTCTCTCTCAGACCCTGGACACACTTTCCCACCATATTCCCAACGCTGGCACTAAAACACATGTAACTGCATGGCAAGCCAGGTCTGAGCGCTGAGCTGGGTGAGAAGAGTCGCATTAAACAGGCAGAGGACACAGGGCTTTCCTCCAGCATGTCCTGATGCAGCCTCCAGCCCCAGAATTCCAATTCCTGCTCTGCCAAAACTTCAGGGCATCTAGCCCTCCTCCCCTGCTCACCCCCTGGGCTTTGAGCACACCAGTGCTCTGAGCTGCTTCCCCAGCCCTTTCACCCTGCTGGGATCTCCAGTTAAGCGGTCGTATCCTCAGCCTCTCCCACGGCCACCCTCAGAATCCACATCTCCACCCAGCACAGAGAGCTGCTGCCAGCTTCCCGCCCGTTCACATAACACATGCGTACAGCCTGCCTTCCAGCCCGCTTTCTCCACGTACGCGCCCATATTCCTCTCTCCACGCATGGCAGAGTTCAACTCTGGTTTGCAGAAGGCACCTAAACTCACCTTCAGAAACTGTAACTCACTTTGTTCTCTCAGGTCTCCCGTCTCAGATTTGCTCATGATGCCACGAGAGCTTTATCTGCAACTCCTGTTCTCAGAAACAACCTCCCTATCTCTCTCACCTCATTTCAAGTCCCAGCTGATGTCTACAGTTTCCCCTTCCAACATCCAGACACACGAGGGTTTTGCCTCTGAGGCCACTTGACAGCAACAGTATCAAGTCCACAATTCACTGGCACGGACAATCTAAATATAAACCATCAGTGCTGATTTATTTTATCTATTCCTCCTCTTCCCCCTGCATCCATCACCTCCCCGGTCCCAGAACGGGAATGGCAGACAGTTGGTAGTACCCACCTCGGAATAAGTCGTACCAGACCCTCTTAGCCCTGAGATGCTGCACTCCATTGAGGTGCTTCTTCCTGTTGTGAAGGTTGTCCTGAAAGGACCTGTCACAGTAGTCACAGAAGTATCTTTTCCCCATCTCTCTTCTGGCAGAGCAGCATCAGCACGGCCTGGGAACAGTCAGACAGATCCTCGGCACCCAGCCATGCCTGCCCTGGGGACAGAGGATCCAAGATTTACAGCGCCTGCTTCCAAAGGAGAGGAACTCAAATCATTTAGGGTTGGCAGACAGCAAAAGAGGCGAGACCCAATAGTATATATTCTTGTCTATCAGAGACTGGTAAAGCAGCATCTGCTGCATGTACATGGGAGAACAGGCTCAGATCTGCATTTCTTGTCTGTTACCCAAAGCAACAGCATCTCTGCTGAAAGAGCTCTCCTTCCCTGAGCATGCTGGAGCTCAGATCACACAAAGCAGAGACCCCAGAGAGCCAGCGGTTCCTAGCCACCACCTGCACCAGGGAAGGTGCAGCAGAAACCATCCAATATGCAAACGGGAGGAGCTAGAGGCCCATGCCACAGCCCCGACGCGGGCCCCCAGGACTTTAACCCCGGACCACAGACAACCTCCACAAGCAAGAGGAAGGAAATGCCCTTACCTTGCAGAGATGGACGTGGGGAAGAAACTCAGCCACTCCTCAAAGATGAAAAAGATGCTGATCTCACCCGTGCTGCACATGGGAAGCTGTATTACAAACACTAAAGGACACAACGGCTGCCTGGTCTTTCTCTGCTGTGCAGAAGTGCTGCAGAGTCCTTGCTTTTCTGTCGTGCTTCTTTTTCCCTACTGGTGTGGGGAGAAAGCATGAAGCAGAAAGCAAAGGTTCAGTTCATCTAACCGCCTATTTACTCCTGTACATCAAGGACTGCCTTCCTCATCCTCCCCAGCCTATGGCAGCAAGCTGTGTCTGCTTCACCGAGTACAGCACTTGCAATAAGTATGATCACAACAGCCCTAAAGTCAGGAGGAAAGAACCCCCAGCTCCACAGCCACTGAAAACAACCTGGAGATGCCTGGTCCTTCTCTTCCCACAGGGGACAGGCGCTTTATGTATTTGTAGTACACATGGATTTGTAGTCTGGAGACTCCGCTGTGGAGTATCGAGAAGTAACAGGACAGAATTTGGGTGCTCTCATCTGTGCTGGGCCTGGAGGAGCCCAGACCCTGGTAGGGCAGGTGAGGTTTGTGGTTAACAGGCAGCCCTGTCTCCATCGGCTGTCCTTGCTGGAGGTGCAACAGACAACCTGAAGGAGCTTAAAGTTCTCTCCCGAGTGATATAAAGGTACCTGATAAATGCCAAAGATGGATGGACTGGGAGATAAACTCCAAAAGCAATTCTCCAGTTTTTGACACCTTGACAACCAAATGCATTTAAAAAATGGCACAGAGACCAGCGCAAGAAATAAAGATTTTATAAATAAAACAGGGTCAGAATCAATCACAGCCTCCCTAACGATTCCTCAGAATCAGCGGGAAGAGGAGCAGCAACAGGCAATCCCTCAGAGCCGAGCATGCTGCGCTAAGGCAGCTCTGCCGAGCCCTCCCGCCAGCCATCCATCCTGGCACCTCATGAGCAACCGTGCCAAACTCCCTTCCTTCCCCAGCTCCCAAGAACTGCTGCTTCAAAATCAAGTCCCTGGAAACCTCTCCGGCCTCACACCACCACTTAAGACGTAAGTCTCCTCTATCTCCGTCCAGCTGCATTGACTGGAAAGATCTTCTGTTTTTTTTCTGAAACAGCTTGCAAACCTTCACACTGAAGGTAAAATGTTCAGAGACTCGATTGAACTTGAAATCTTTGTTTTAAGCTCCTTTCCTTGTTCTTCGGGTGAAATACAGTGTTGGGAGGTGGTGCTGATCAACCAGCCATCTCTCCCCGATGCGACTGCAAACTGCTTCACCTGCAAACACAGTCAGACCTGGCTCCTGCTCGGGAAGGAGCAACTCAGCTCTGTAGGGCTTGAGGTCTGAAATTGTCCTAGTCCCACCCAAGAAACCAAACCCAAGTGCTGCTTAGTGAGCATTAAGCCACAATTTTCCCCTATCCTTTACTAGATCATCCCAGAGTTTTGCAGGCAGCCTGGCAGCCAGCTTTGCCGCACTGTGGTGGGGCTGCTGGAATTCAGAGGGGAATGCTCTCACCCTCAGCGTCTGGCTCGCTGGCAGGCTCTGCTGTGGCTTTTAAGTATTGAAAAATCCCCCTTCCGCATCTTATGCCATAGTCTCCCAAAGTTTCTGGGAACATAAAAGCTTTCCTGCTTCAGCTGCTGGCTCCTGCACTCCATCTCTGCAGAAGCGGCTGCTGTGAACGGGGAAAACAAATGAGATTCTGCAGCGGTCCCACACAAGTTTCCACAGATCTCAATGGGAATTCTGCCTGCAGAAGCCCAGCAGCAGCCAGCCTTTGAAATCGTATTTCAAACTTTTCCTTTCATCACCCCGACAGCAATAATTGCAGAAGCTCATTCCTCCTCCTTCCTCAACAACAAGGGCAGAAAGCTCCTACAGATTTCAGGCAGCCAGATCCCACTCCCCAGAGGTACCGGCTCCCAAATTCTCCTAGCGATTCCCATTGCAGGGGATGAACAGAATAAAAAAAAGAAAAGCAATTAGAGGAGCATCAGATTCTCCCAGAGATCGCCCCCTCCAAAGATTACACTGAGCACTTATTTCCATCTTTTTGAGAATTCAATTGCATGGATTATCTTGGCTGGCTTCTGACAACTCTCTGCAGTATCAGCAATCCACAGCGCTTTGCGCTGAACTAGTACGTAGGAATAAAAGCTGCTTCTGAGCAACACTGGCTAACCTATTTCCATTTTCCCAAATGGCTCCAACAGTAAACAAAGAGCATTATTCAGCTGAAAACAGAGATGTTTTCTAATTAAATCCATGTTAGTCATTATGAAATGAAGTAAATGTAGCTGCTTTATAAAGAACTGCTTCAGCTTGGCCATTTCCTCTTAACATTTCTAGACCCTAATTTGCAATTGAATTCAGGCAAATAGACCCCTGGACCCACAGGCAGCCATAAACGACTTCAGACAGGCTTGTACCAGCTTAAAAGTCTTTCTGCATAAATCCAAATACAAAAAAACCCAGGGCTTTGTCTTGTATCTCGATGCTTAGAAGTATTAACAAAAAAAATCCTCCACTGTAAGCCTCTTGGAGCAACGTTTAATAAGAAATAGCATGTCCTAAGACACCTAGCAGGTGTTTCACTCATCTAGCTGAGACGCTTGGTAAAAATCCAGGCAAGACCTCATACGCACCATCCTACAATTTCCCCTCCTCAAATTGCTGCCAAAACACTCCACATTGCGTTCTACCAGCTACAGATTTTATTTAGGACTCTCCGGGGGTTCTTTCACCAATTTCCTCGAGATGTGGACAGAGGGAAGAAGGTGACCCAGAAACGGGCATACAGCAGACTTGTTTTCGTCTGGGCGTAACTGCTTTTCTCCGCGCTGAACCCTGAGAATTGCTGCTGGGCCTTGACCTCAATTTCCTTCTTTCTTATAGCCCAGGCTTGGGGCCGTTTCAGCCACTTTGGGTATCCGGACAGATGTGAAGTTAATTAAATCCAAGTGTCGAGCTTATGATACTCAGCCGCCAATTTAAATGTGTTCATATCTCTACGGGAACATGCAAAACGCAGGCAGAGTCTGCCAGCACCTTCACAATGACAGAGGGACGGATTCTGACTTCCGTTACGCCCAGCATAAATCCAGAGCTTGATTCGGGATTAACACCGACCTGACCGTTACACAAACCCATCTCAGTGGTAGCAGTTTACAGACTATTGGGGAGATTTGTCTTAGAGACAATCCCTAGCTGTTAACTTTGAAAAATAATAATGGAGCTTTTCGAAGGGACGGCCTAAGGCATAACACTATACACAGGGCATGGGAATACGTTCAGCACGGGAATAGGTTCGGCACCTTTTGCCCTCTGTGCAGGCTTCCAGCACAAGCAGGGGCTTTGCCCTATGCCAGAAATCCCACAGATCCCCACAGCAGCTCCATGCAGGGAACCAAAAATAAATAAATTAAAAGAAAGGACTACGCAGCCAGACTATGTCCTCTTCCGGAGCGGCTGAGACAAATGAAACAACAGAGCGAGTGCCACTTGAGGATCTCTTCTGAAATGTAATGTAGATGCTCATTTACCAAGAATCCTGCCGAGGGACAACTTCAGTTTTAAAAATCCACACCCCCCCCCCTTGCTTGCCTGCCCTTTCCAACCCCAAATCTACCTCTCTTTCCCATCACTGCTCAAGCCATCCTGGGGGCCCTCGATCAGGTTAAACAGAAACACAAACACGGAGAGAAGGTGGCAAGCAGGAACGGAGACGGTTCCACTCCAGTTGTACCATGTCACCGCTTCCCGAGGCCTCTGGAGCAGCCTCCTGTCAGGAGCCACAGCATCCATCTCCCACTCGGAGCACGCTGACGACTCTTACGGCCCCTCGCAGCTCGCCCCAGCGACGAAAGAAACCCCCCACGCCCCGAGGGGATGAGCAGAAGAGGACATCAACGCAAAACCTTCTTTCTCCTCCATTTTACCCCTCACGGGGTGGGGGTGTCTTCTGCCCCCCCAGCAAGGCCCTGCAGCCCC